TTTGTGTTTCTGATCAGAATCCCCAGCTTGCCCGGGCTGTTTCAGTGTCACTTGAGCTTGGGAAGAAGGTGGAGCAAGTGGCCCATGTGACCTGGAGACAGAGGAGCAGCTCTGCCCTCTTCCCCTGCCCCTGCCCCTGCCGGCCTAGGGCAGGCCTTGCAATGATGGGCTGCTGGTGGTGGAGGAGAAGGCTGAGGAGGGAGTGGTTGTGTGACCTGTATTCGGTGTCGTGGTCACGTGTAGGTTTTCTTTTTCTGTTTGAAAAAATGACTAAAGTCTTCCCTCCAGTTTCACTTTAAGGTTGAAAATGAAGATTTTATTCTTAAAGTTGAACACAGTGATTGTATAATCTTTTTGAAAGCAACATTTGAGGTTTTAAAAAGACATCTCAGAGAACTCCAGTAGATAAAGCCAAAAAGAGAGAACATGTTCAGGCTGAACTGCGAGTGGGACCCCAAACTGTACTCTGTCTCTCCACGAGTCTGTAATTGCTGAGATGGGTGGATATAGGACCCCAAGTACCCTGGGGACCAAGTCCTCAAGTGACCGCAGAGGTCCAGGCTGAGCCAGGAGCAGTGTGGGCTGTGCTCTGGTGAGTGGAGAGCCGCGAGACTGGGAGTGGGACCAGGAGAGGGGGTGGGAGACTCGGGCTCGCAGGCAGGGCAGCACCCGGCAGAGTCTGGGAGGTGCTGGCTGACGCGGCTCGAGGCAGGGACACCCCTGAACCTCCACCGTGTGGCCCCTGCAGGGCAGTCATCTGGCAGCCCAGGGTCAAAGTGAAGAGGGCAAGCGTGGAAAAGGTTGAGTGAACCCCTACCCCCACTGTGGGTTCATTTTAAGTGCCTGGAGCGAGGTTGGTCAAGCCCTTGCTGAGCTTGAGGGAGGGAGTCAGTCAGGGAGGACCGAGCTCAGAGTGAGAGTGAGGGGCAGCTAGCGCAGTGAGTCCTCCTCAGCTGGGTCAGTTCTGGGGACGCCCTTGAGTTCAGGGGTGCCCTTCCAGTAGCCTCACTGGAGGCTCATTTGTGGGGTGGAGGGGGCAGAAGCCCCCTTAGAAGACGTGCTCATTCCTAGCGGTGGTGTTTTCTGAAGCAGTTTATACTGTTCGGTTCGACTGTGACCCCGTACCTTGCAGGGTCATGTTTGCTGGTGGGCCTGAGCTGTGGGCACGGCCTTCCTTCTCCCGCACCCCAGACTGTGTGGGTGCAGTCTTTCTGGCAGCCCCAACCCCTCTGTACCCTTGATGGTGGGCCTGAGCCCAGCCCCTCTGTTACCATGGAGCCCTTTGTGACGGAGAGGGTTCTGGGTTCTGGGCTCCTGGGAGACATGCTGGAGGCAGAGGCTTCATGCCATTTCTCCTTGAGACAGCAGTGCTGTTGGTCATAGTGTGAGAGCAGTGGTCATAATGTGAGAGCAGTGTGTGTGAAAGCGGTGTGTCTGTGAGAGTGGTGTGTGAGAGAGTGGTATGTGTGAGAGCAGTGGTCGTACTGTGAAAGCAGTGTGTGTGAAAGCGGTGTGTGAGAGAGTGGTGTGTGAGAGAGTGGTGTGTGTGAGAGCAGTGGTCATACTGTGAAAGCAGTGTGTGTGAAAGCGGTGTGTGAGAGAGTGGTGTGTGAGAGAGTGGTGTGTGTGAGAGCAGTGGCCGTACTGTGAAAGCAGTGTGTGTGAGAGCAGTGTGTGTGTGAGAGCAGTGTGTGTGTGAAAGCGGTGTGTGAGAGAGTGGTGTGTGTGAGAGCAGTGGTCGTACTGTGAAAGCAGTGTGTGTGAGAGCAGTGTGTGTGAGAGCAGTGTGTGTGTGAAAGCGGTGTGTGAGAGAGTGGTGTGTGAGAGAGTGGTGTGTGTGAGAGCAGTGGTCATACTGTGAAAGCAGTGTCTGTGAAAGCGGTGTGTGAGAGAGTGGTGTGTGTGAGAGCAGTGGTCGTACTGTGAAAGCAGTGTGTGTGAGAGCAGTGTGTGTGTGAGAGCAGTGTGTGTGTGAAAGCGGTGTGTGAGAGAGTGGTGTGTGTGAGAGCAGTGGCCGTACTGTGAAAGCAGTGTGTGTGAGAGCAGTGTGTGTGTGAGAGCAGTGTGTGTGTGAAAGCGGTGTGTGAGAGAGTGGTGTGTGTGAGAGCAGTGGTCGTACTGTGAAAGCAGTGTGTGTGAGAGCAGTGTGTGTGAGAGCAGTGTGTGTGTGAAAGCGGTGTGTGAGAGTGTGGTGTGTGAGAGAGTGGTGTGTGTGAGAGCAGTGGCCGTACTGTGAAAGCAGTGTGTGTGAGAGCAGTGTGTGTGTGAGAGCAGTGTGTGTGTGAAAGCGGTGTGTGAGAGAGTGGTGTGTGTGAGAGCAGTGGTCGTACTGTGAAAGCAGTGTGTGTGAGAGCAGTGTGTGTGTGAGAGCAGTGTGTGTGTGAAAGCGGTGTGTGAGAGAGTGGTGTGTGTGAGAGCAGTGGTCGTACTGTGAAAGCAGTGTGTGTGAGAGCAGTGTGTGTGTGAGAGCAGTGTGTGTGTGAAAGCGGTGTGTGAGAGTGTGGTGTGCGAGAGAGTGGTGTGTGTGAGAGCAGTGGTCATACTGTGAAAGCAGTGTGTGTGAGAGCAGTGTGTGTGTGAGAGCAGTGTGTGTGTGAAAGCGGTGTGTGAGAGTGTGGTGTGTGAGAGAGTGGTGTGTGTGAGAGCAGTGGTCGTACTGTGAAAGCAGTGTGTGTGAAAGTGGTGTGTGAGAGAGTGGTGTGTGAGAGAGTGGTGTGTGTGAGAGCAGTGGTCGTACTGTGAAAGCAGTTTGTGTGAAAGCGGTGTGTGAGAGAGCGGTGTGTGAGAGAGTGGTATGTGTGAGAGCAGTGGTCGTACTGTGAAAGCAGTGTGTGTGAAAGCGGTGTGTGTGAGAGCAGTGTGTGAGAGCAGTGTGTGTGTGAAAGCGGTGTGTGAGAGAGTGGTGTGTGTGAGAGCAGTGGTCGTACTGTGAAAGCAGTGTGTGTGAAAGCGGTGTGTGTGAGAGCAGTGTGTGTGTGAGAGCAGTGTGTGTGTGAGAGTGGTGTGTGTGAGAGCGGTGTGTGAGAGCGGTGTGTGTGAAAGCGGTGTGTGTGAGAGCAGTGTGTGTGTGAGAGTGGTGTGTGAGAGAGTGTGTGTGTGAGAGCGGTGTGTGAGAGAGCGGTATATGAGAGTGGTGTGTGAGAGCCGTGTATGTGAGAGCAGTGATTGTACTGTGAGATTGGTGGTAATATCTCGGGTGTGAGGTATCTGACTGTGAAACAGCAGTTGCCCCTGAGTGGGGGCTGCCCCCATCCATGAGGATGGGTCGCAGAAAGGCCCACCTGTGGGTGCTTTTCCAATGCTGCAACCCCAAGACAAAGGCCAAGATGAGAAAGAACTTGATCTTGGCCCAAGTTCTGGAAGTAGAGTGCCCAGAGGTGAGAGCAGCTGGGGCCTGGGCCCGTCGGATTGGCCCTCACCTGGCGAAGTGTTGGGGTTGTGTTTCATTTTGTTGGCATGGTTGTGGGCCCTGCCAGCCAGGGCGTTTTGGCCTTAGTGGGCGGGATCGACCCCAGCAGGTTGACCTTCTAAGAGGTTGTGCAGGTGCTGCATGGAGGATGGGCGGAGGCCCCATAAGAAGGGAAACACTGGCTGGGGGAACCTCTGGGGCATGTGGATCGAGCTATAGACTCAAGTCCTTGAAGCAGAAAGGCTAAGCCCCTTAACGCCTCCCACCTTCAAAGCACAGACAAGTGTGTCCAGTATATTAATGACGGGTGTCTACTGCTTACGTGTATAACATACAGCCTCATAGCTTCACATGTCTACTACTGTTCTGGGTGTGAATACTCAGTATGTAGTAGGGGATATGTAGCCCAGGATTTTTGTATTTGTGCCAAGGACAACAGAAGAATGAAAGACTTGAGTGTGGTTCAGTTTGAGCAAGTTCACCACATGGACGGCCCCGTGTGCATGCAAATTGTGGTAAAATACATATAACATGAATTTAACATTTTAACAACTTTATTGAATGACTGGGTGACTTCAGTGGAGTCAGGCTAACAGACGGCCTTGGGGTGCCATCAGCCATTTTCCCAGAGGAACACTCCAAAGCCTGGTGGCCTTGTAGACCTTACCTTTCTTCTTGACTCTCCCCAGGGGTTCTAGGTCACTTGTCTGTGTGTCATTTAAGAATCTCTTTATCCACTTTGTTGTTAGGTTTATGTTTAGGAACGTTTCTAAGACGTCCCTGGGTCTTGAGAAGGCAGGCTCAGATGCCGGGTTCTCCCCTGCCACGAGCCTGCCAGGTCGAGGTGGAGGCTGAAAGCTGGTCTGAATTGTGATGGTCTGTGTGCTTTTGGGGTCAGTAGATGCCCTCTTCTCTGGAGGGGCAAAGAGATCCTTTGTGTGGAGCCTGAAGAGACTTGACATGGTCAGTTTCCGTGTCTCACTCTCCTTTTAATTTGTGTTTGCATTTAGTTACTTACTCATTTGTTTCCTAGTTTACAGAACTTTAGAGAACTAAATGTATGCAGGGAGCAGCTTCTTGCAAGAGAAGAAGAAATCACTGAGCTGAAAGCGGAAAGGAGCAACACCAGGGTCAGTAGGCGGAGTCTCACGTGTTGACATGTGCCCCGCGGGGGTCACCACTGGGCTCCATGTTGCTGTCCTTAAACTCTGTCTGGTTTTCAAGTCCTTTTTCACATCTTCCCACTGAGCAGACCGAGGTGGATCAGTTCAATCAGACCTTGCTTCAATTTTATGATGAGAGCTAATGTAATTTTAGTACATTTGGGGGGGAGTTCTCTAAACGCACATTTTTGTCCATGGTACACTTTAGGATCTTAGTTCCCTGACCAGGGGTTAAAACCTATGTCCCCTGCAGAAGTGTGGAGTCTTAACTCCTGGGCCACTGGGGAAGTCCACTCTAACTTTAGGCTGAAATGGCAGGATTCCCACGTGCCTTGGCATGGTTTCGGCTTTAGCGTGAGGCTGAGAGGAGTTCTTGGCCCTGAATTCAAACACGAGGTTGAAGGTGCTCCTCTGGCCCCGCCCCACAGCTGCTGCTGGAGCGCCTGGAGCTCCTGGTTTCCCGGTACGTGCCATCCCTCCGGATGACGGCGGGCAAGCAGCAGGCGCGGTCCCCGGCCGGCGTGGCCAGTGGGGTGCAGGTGCTCAGGGCGCTGAAATCTCTGTGAGCACCACAAGGCCCTGGACGAGAAGGTACCAGCCCCCCGGCCGTCCTGGATATGTACACTTGCTGCCTTGGTAGGTGGATAATGCACGTATTTATGTACCTAGTTGAGTTTTGAGCTTCTTGAATTTTTGTAAATACATTTTTTCTGTAAGAAGTCAGAGTTTTATATGGTTAAAAAGCATTGCCTGAGTACCTGCTCAGTCTTGTCTGAATCTTTGCGACCCTGTGGACTGTAGCCCACCACATTCCTCTCTTCATGGGGCTTCCCAGGCAAGAATACTGTAGTGGGAGGCCATTTTCTACTCCAGGGGATCTCCCCGACCTAGGGATCAAACTGGCCCTCTTGCATTGACAGGCGGATTCTTTACCACTGAGCCACCTGGGAAGCCCCCAGTTAAAAAGTATTAGTTGGCCTAAATGTCTCAAGATTTATTATATCCTGTATATCAATTTGCAGTTAAAAACTGGGTAATAGAATTAATTTAGGATAATGTTTTGTTCTCTCAAACTTAGAATTTAAAGCTGTAAACAAGCAGATTTTCTTGATGTTAAGATCACTGAGAGACATTAAAGGTATTCTGTGACAGCAGCCATGTGTTAGGGTGAGTATACAATAAGGAGTGTACTAACATATATACACACATCAACACACAGTGACTCGGCCCCTTTTATTTCTGTTGAGAGAGCGATTATAAGTAGCACTCGAAAAGTGTAGTTTTCTAGAAGAAGAATTAGGTGCTACACATAAAGAGGTAAGTTTGATCAGTCATCCTGTAATTTCAGTTAAGGGTTTGTCATTTACATCCTTTCATTTTAAAAAAGTATGAAGGCTGTAGTGGTGGACATCAGATGTTATTTATTGTTCTGATTGAGGATAAGCCCACCTAGGTTATTTTAATGACTAGTAAACTAAACTTGTGGTTCAGAGCTGCAGGATCTCTTAAGTACCCCTTTGTCCAGTAGAAGATAAATTCTGACTCTAATCACCTGGTTCTATTCAGGATGGATAGCATCACCATGTATTTTCTTTTTATGTTGTGTTTTCAGTTTAGAGTTGAATTTTTCCAAGTAGAGTTTTGCTGTCTTATTTCTTTACTCTGGTTCAAATTTTTGGTTTTAGCTGATGATTCTTAAAGAGCAGAATAACCAGGAAAAGATACTAATGGACGGGGTGCTTGATGGAAACCACGAGCAAGAAAACATGCCAAGTGCCAATGGAAAGGCAAGTCCTCAGTCTCACTCACTGTCTGGTTCTCGTCTTACCATCCAGTCTGTGTGGGGCTGTTGGGACCGCTCACCAATGCACCATGTAGGTCTGAGTGGCCGTGAGGGTCATGTGAGCTCCCAGAATGCAGAAGGCGTTTTTGACCTCACCAATTTCCTGGAAGTGCTGTGTTCCCTCCCTCCAAAAACAAGCCTGTCTAAGGCTTCCTTTCCCCCTTAGAGATTGTTGGGCACTTCTCTAAGCCACGAGGAAGACCTGACTAAGGTGATAGATCTCCAGGAAGTCATAGACAAGCAGTCGTGGGAGCAGAGCCAGATGAAGGAGCGCCTGGCAGCCCTCTCTGCCCACGTGACAGAGCTGGAGGAGGACCTGGACACAGCCAGGAAGGACCTCCTCAAGTCCGAGGAACTGAACAGGACACTGCAGCGGGATGTCTGCGAAGTGAGTGACAGCGGCCTTGTCTGCTGTCCTGAGGTGGAATGTGGGCCCCTTGTTCTCCGGTGATCTCAGCCTCAGGATGGCTGCGCGAGCAAGAGCAGAGCTCTGGCAAGACCACAACCGGCTGCCTCCCCGCCTCTGTGTCGAGGTCTCTGGGGTAGAAGAGGCCTGGTCCAGGTGGTCTGTTGGCAGTGGACCAAAATGAGGGCAGCCCTAGCACTGTGCTACACCCTGGGTGTGGACTTCTCGTTTCTAAAAGTTCTGGGCGGCCCACGTGTTCCTTTTTTAAACATTCATTCATCCATTCATTCACTTATCGGCGTAGAGTTACTTTACACTGCTGTGTCAATTTCTGCTGCATAGCAATGTGAATCAGTCATGTATGTATGTATGTACATCTACGTATACCCCTCGTTTCAGATTTCCTGCCCGTCAGCCTCACCACGGAGCGCGGAGTAGACTCCCCTGTGCTGTACAGCAGGTCCTTATTCCTCCTTGGCTCTATGCACAGGGGCGGTGGTGAACACATGTCGACCCCGTCTCCCAGTCCATCCCCCCACCTGCCTGTCGAATGTGTTCCTGATGATGCTGAAATTTCCTTCTGATTCACTCAGGCGAGTCTGGTGACGTCTGTGGCACCCTTTCTCTCGGAGAGATGGAGCGTGCTGTGCGGGCTCTGCTGAGGCAGCTTACCTGGCTATCTTCTCTAGATTTCTGAGGTTCTGCTCCTAGAAGGGATGTGTGACAGTGATACAGGCAGTCAGACAACTCGAGTGACGTGGGCTCACCCTCAGATCCTCAGGCCCGAGCTGTGTAACCATGTAGAATCACGATGTTTCTGGTGGTCGTGTCTGCAGGTGTCATGATTCATGAGAACTTACCTGAGGATGACTGTGAAAACAGAAGAGTGCTGGGGCTCATGCCTTCTCCTGTAATCCTCAACTCTCGTCTATACACAGAGAGACAGAAGAGTGCTGGGGCTCAGGCCTCCTCCTGGGAGCCTCACCTCTCCTTTGTATGCAGACATATAGTGCCCACCCTGCCCCACCCTCCCCCATGAGACCATCTTTGAGAGGACCCCTCCAAGATGTGTTACAGCAGGTGTGCTTGTTTAGTAGCTTGGTGTGAGAAATTCTGTGTGAGAACTCAAAACAGAAATATTTGCACCTGCTTGTATAACCTATTCACATTACTCTTTGGAACAGGAGGAGATTAGGTGGCAGAGTTTAATATGTAGAGAATTCTGGAAAATGTTTTAAGGACCTTTCACTTTTAATATTAGGACTTTGCTGACATTGGTTACTAGTGACCAGGGAGGGACCTGAAATGGAGTTTGAGCTGGTGGACAGGAGTTGCACCAGCAGCAAGTTCTGGTCCTGGTTTGAGCATTTCATACATGTGGTATAATTCTGCTTCAGAAGAACTAGCTAGGCTTGAGAAGGCTGCTTCCAGTTTTATTACACTTTGACTTCTGTTTCCACTTGTTAATATTTTTACTTTAATTTTGAGGAAATACCACGAGATTTTTCCAACTTTTACTTGAGGAAACGAGAGAGGCTCACTGTTGGATCTGTTGAAGTTCCCTCCCTGTTCTGGGTGAAGCCCGCCTGTATGGTGTAGCAGACAGAGGTCCTGACTTCATGCCAGATACCTTCCCTCCTGAAATTCTTGCACTAACAGAGTAGTTTAGTATACTTTTTGTTTGCTGTTTGGGTTTATTATGTAGAAAAGAAGGTTGGTAAACCAAGTGGCCGAACAGAACGTTAAGACAGATGGGTGCAAACCGTGGCAAATGTGACCTTTGAGGTAGGCGCGTTTTTGCTCCTGTCTGAGAAAACTGCCATGTCTAGGACTTTAATTTTGAGGATGCTAATGTTTGATTTGATACTTAAGATTTAGTCCAGCTCTTTTACTCTTAAATGTATTGAAGTGTTCCATGAAAACGACTTACCTTTTCTCCTCTGCAATGCCTGCTGTAGGCCATGGCCCAGAAGGAGGACATGGAAAAGAAAATCAATACCCTTGAGAAACACTACCTCGCCACACAGCGTGAAGCCACTTCTGTGCATGACCTCAATGATAAACTTGAAAATGAAATTGCAAATAAGGATACTATGCATCAACAGGTAATGGCCTTTACTGAGCTGTGTCAGACTTTTACAGTAGTGAATTACTGAGGAAGGAAGGTAATAACCTTTTCATGTGACTCCCACGTTAGAAATCAAGTCCCAGTGTAAAGTTCTTGTGACCCTAAAATACTGTGTTCAAAGGTATGGATGCACATCATGGTAAATCAGCTGTACTGGAAGGAAATACATTTTCTAAAAATTGGGGGTGACTGCAACTTACAGGTTTGAATTATCTGAGACTAAGTTTAACCATTTTGTGGAATTAAACTCCTGACTCTTTTGTTTTACTTGAATGTGAATCTGTTGGCTTGTTAGTGTTTTTACTGAAAGAGCAGAGAGCAGCAGGGAACTTCAGGGCAGCTGGCTGCCTGTTGGGAACTGGGGTCATTGTGACAAAAGGCGGGTTTAGTGCTCCAGGCTGATTAGGGTTTGTACTTCCTGTGGTTTGGTGAGCCTTACTCGCTCCTGTTTCTGTGTGGTCTCAGATAATCAGGACTTAACCAGGAAAACCAAATCTGGCTTCTCCAAAACAAAGTGAGTTGGTCTGGTGTGTGACAAAGTGTATCATTGGCCCCACCAAAAAAATAAAATACTAGAAAGCCATTGAAGTGTATGATGTGGAATGCTAATTAAGAGCATTACGATAGACAAAATAATGGCTGTAAAAGGCAGATCAGAAAACACCATGTACCATATGCTGTTGTTTTTTGAGGGTATCAAAGCATATTCATATTGTTTGTGTATGTACATAGAGTGATACACACACAGAAAAAAATAAGAAAGCTGCTTAGAAAAAAATGCTAACCTCTCAGGAACCTGAGCTTATAGATAATTTAATTTTTTTTCTTTGTTATAAAAGAATCTTTCTGAATGTTCTACATTGAAAGTTTTTCAGAGTAAGAAGTTCTGTTAAAAGAATAATCATGCATTTACAAATATTAGTTGACTGGCATTTCACCAGGCACACTCTTATCAGGTTTGTATTTCAGAGGAGATAAAAGCCATATTTTGGCTTACACGCCCATGGCCATCTGTGGTCAGTAGGGTTCCCTTCAAATGACGATTCTAGTGATGTTTTAAGAAGGGTCCATACTGAACCCTTCTAACATTAACTTGTCAATAAAAATGAATAAGATTCTACAGAAAATTGATCTTTAATATATAAGAACTTTTTTCTGAGTAGTCCTTTTTGGGTTCACCCAAAAGCTGAGACAAATCGTGAGACCTTCAGGTGGACAGTGCTATCCATCAGAAAGATAATATGAGCCACATACACAATGTAAAATTTCCTAAAAACGTCAAGGCTACTTAACGTCCTTTTTTCACCGCGAGTCTTGAAATCTCCTCTGTGACCTCCACATCGAGCTTTGCACCGGCCTGTCTCGTGTGCTCAGGGCTGCACGAGGCGGGTGACTGCCGTGGCCGACAGCACAGAGCTGCCAGGCTGAGTCGAGTGACTCAGAAACGTGGCCCATTTGACTTGTCTTACCCCGTGAGGAGAGAAGTGGGGTGTAGAGGAATGAACGTGAGGGATGCCCAGGAATGCAGGTGAGCTCCATGGAGACAGTTTAAAGCAATGAGAGGAGCGAGGGCAATAGAGTGAGTCCTGCCCCCTAGCCCCGAACCCCCGCCCCAAGTCCAGCTTCTCTCTACAGACTTCATCGTTGTTAATGGCTTTCATGTTTCCTCTAGAAGCTTTCCTACAAGATAGAACTTCTCATTCATTATGGCTTATAAGGGTTAATATTGTTTTGAGTGTTTATATTTCCTATGGGACTTTTAGAGTACATTGTCTCAGAATTAAAATGTTCAGAGTTGATAACTACTCATGTAACCTGTTATGCACATTTTGGTGCAAGTCATTTTACATCTGGAAAGCAAGCGGTGCAGGCTGTCATTCACTCTTTCATAAGACCATCTGATTAAAAACCTGGAGACCCCTAGAGCCCAACTGGACCAGATGAGGCTGTGAGGGGCTCCCCTCCACCATGGGTAGGGTGCTCCCCCAGGCAGCTCCCCTCAGCACTATCGACTGGGTGTCACTCATGGTCACACCTCAAGGAGCCTGTAGCTTCGTGGCCAGCGAGAGGGGAGAGACAAGCATCGTTCCTTAGAATCGACCTTGGTACCAGGGAGAGTGGTGGACATGGTATTGACAAAAAACTCAAAACCACAGGCGGAGGTTTGGGGGAAGTGGGGGCAGACCAGTGGATATTTGGGTGTATTCATTTGAGGGACCTGACAGACTGACAGTGATGTTTCTGAAGAGTCACAGAAGGTTAATGACCTGCAGTCTTTTTTACGTGAATGGAGACTGAGACACGACTTGCCGACTTGCCGTTCGCTGCGGTGGGAGGAATCACCTGGCTTGTGAATGAGGCTAGCAGATTACTGAGCACCTTATTTTTTCTTACTTGTTGTTGTAGCGGCAGTAATTCTTACTGTTTAAATGTTTCTTTGGCTTCTTCATGGAAAATGGTCACAAGTGAGAGAGAAACTTTAGCAAAGGTTACTGAAGTGCTTAACAGGTGACTTTCATCCATCTGTAGGAAATCGACTGCTGCTTGAATCCTGACGTAGAAGACTGTTTGGAGCCCATACACATATTTCTGCGTTTGTGTGCTTAGGGGATCCTCGTGGTCCAGGGCCCCTGCCCAGCCTTCTTCTAGAGTAAGGGGATATCATTAGAGACGAAGGCAGAGCCAGAAACTGGCCCTGTGTCGGAAACCACGGTGGGTGGACTTCAAGGAGGGCATGCGCCCTGCAGAGCGGATAGGGGACATGGCCAGACTTGCTGGCAGAGCTCCTCCAGGGTGTGGGGCTGGTGCTGTCAGACGTGGAGACCCCCTGCTCCCGGGGTGGACGAGGTGAGTGTGAGGAGGTCTGTGTAGACAGTGCAGGAAGAGGAGGTGGACACAGCCTCCTGCTCTTGGGGGGTTTGGGTAAGGAGGAGGGCGCTGGTGCTGGGACCCAAAGGCCTGGCATGGTTGGGGGGTTCAGACAGAGAAGCCTGGGGCCTGGTCACCAGGCCCCTGTGTGTCAGCGAGAGATGAGAAGAGGAAGCAGCCGCGGGGCAGGAGGGGCCGCTGTGCTCTGAAGACAGTGGGCGCAGCGGCTGGTGCGAGGGAGGTGTGTCTCCAGGAGGCAGCTCTCGAGGGGTCACGGCAGTGGCTTATTAGCACAGGCCGGGCCTCGGAGCGGGGCTTGCAGGCTGTGTGGGCTGGTGGGGGGCACTATGCTGGCTCAGGAGGGAGGGAGTGGGGACTGAAAACCTGGCTCACAGGCAGGGCAGGCTCGGTGTATTATCACAGGACCTCCCAGTGGAATTGGTCACCTTGTCTCTGAGACCTTCTGCTGGAGGAGAGCCTCGGGTGAGGAAGGGGAGAGAGATGGAAGCTGCACTCCGCGAGGGGGCTGGGAGGTGATGGTTGGGGGCGACCAACCCGGAGGCCTTTGTGGCCCTCAGAGTACCTGCTGGGGTCCGCAGTCCATGGAGGGACAGTGTCGTACCCCCGACCCAATTCCCGTGTCCTCTGGTCCCAGGCCCTTGGGCAGAAGTCGAGCAGAGAAAGCAGTGGTTTCTGTCAGGAGGGAGGGAGATGGGAGGGAAGACAGGTGTGGCTTGGGGAGATTCCAGATTCCATCTGTGCAGCACAGCTTCCTCGCAAAAGCGTCAAGCAGCGCAGCGTGTGAGCCCGAGCAGGCTGAGCTGTTGGTTGGCCCTGGCCGCTCTGCAACGTGTGGGGTGTCCTGTCCTCGCGGGAGGGCTCTGTCTCCCGGGTTTAGGGACTCCTGCACGTGAAGGCGCCACCCTCTTCCCAGAGACAGGACTGAGCAGAGCCCGGGCCTCCTGCCTCGCAGGCGGCTCACAGCCAAGGCGGGCCACCCCACCTCTCAGCAGGCCCGTGCTGAGTGAGCTGCTGGCACCGCCAGGCCCAGGCCTCAGTGCTCAGGGCCTGAGCATCTGTGCTGAGCTCCAGACTTCAGCCCAGAGTCTGGTGACACGCTCATCTGTGTTTCTGATGGGAGACACCAGTGCAGCTCAGCTCCAAGCTTTGGTTGAGGGCTGTCTGCTGCTGGTTGTCTGAGGTGCCGTTAGAGGCGCTGGGAGCCGTGCAGCCAGTGTTCCAGGCAGAAGGGTGACTGTGATCCATGGACTTCACGCGGGAGAGCGAGGTCAGAGCAGGCGCGGGCCAGAGGGGAGGTGCGGGTGCCAAGGAGAAAGCAAAGCAGGTGCAGGCCCTGTCCTGGGACCTGAGGGTGTGCTCCAGGGGGACTACAGATGCCCCAACCCCAGACTCCTGTCCTAGTCAGCTGCACACCCTCGCATCAGCACTGCCTTCCCCACATACAGGAGTTTTCCAGCTGGTGGGGCTGGGACCTGAGTGTTTGCGGGGCAGCGGGCGGCCTGTTGCTGTTGGAGCCAGGAGGGCAGTGCCCTCCCGGGGGCCCTTTTGCGGTGAAATTGCCGATCTTCCAAATTGACAGGCTCTGAAAAAAAAAAAAAGACAGGCTCTGGCTTGTCTGACAGAGTGAGCGCTGTTTTCCTCTAACAGCACTATCTTTCCTGTGTGTTCAGATGCCCCACTTGGACAGCGCAGCGGACTTCAGGTTCCCTGTTGTGGACGGGCCGGCAGACTCCCCCGGCAGCGGGGCGGTGCTGCGGCGCCCCCAGAAAGGCCTGCTGGCAGTGCTGCACGACGGGCTGTCCAAGGCAAGGACCCCCACCGCCACCCTCTTCCCGTCCCTGGTGGTCACCTTGTGAGGCACCTGCCCCACACACTGTGGTCCTGAGGTGGGTTCGGAACAAAGCGTTGATAGGCTGCTTTGCGTCTTCCCATTTTTCTTTTTCTGGCTAAGAATTTACTTTTAAGGCATGCTTTTTTTTCTTAAAAGAACCAATTTTGATAACTTGTGGCCTACTGTGAGGCCCAGCATGGTACTAATTAGCACAGTTTTGACATCATCCTACAAGTAAATAGATACATATATCTATCATCTTTATAGGGAGAAGAATCCTCATTGGAAGTTTAAGGGCCTTTATATTTTCGCCTCATTCATGGCATGTATTTTTTCATACGTATCTGTGTTTTGAGCTTCCATGTTCAGTGAGCAGGTAGTTTGCGCCAGACATCATCAGAAATAGGACTCAGGCAGTGAATTAAAAACCGTGTGCATTCTTTATTCACTGCTATGTAACGAATCAGCAAAGCTTCCTGACTTCCCAGTGAGCAGCTCACAGTCACCATTTCTGTGCATTGTAGCAGGTATGCCTGGTTCAGGGCCTCCTGAGGTCACAGGCATGGGAAGGCCCCCAGGGCTGGATGGCAGGCTTTCAGACTCACCTGGCTGGTGGGGACAGGCCCAGGTCCCTGCCATGTGGACCTCTCCATGGCCTGTCTTTCCTCGGAACACCCTCCAAGAAGGAGTGTGGGGTGTAGCCTGGGACCTTTTGTGCCCCGGTCTCTGAAGCCGCGCACTTTCCCTTATGTTTGGGAGAGTGAGCTGCGAAATCCTGCCTCGCTCAGAGGCTGAGCAGGAGTTGCCCCCTCTGCCTCTTGAAGGGAGGAGGATGGAAGAATTTGTGGAGCCATTTTTAAACCCACGCAGCCTGTCGGACAGTAATGAGCAGGAAAAGGAGGCCAGAGTGCCCGAGTTGTCCAAGGAGGAGGGGGCGATTGTGTGTGAACAGGGTACCCAGCGAGGTGACACCAGGAGGGTGACCTTGAACCAGAGACCCGGAGGCAGGAAGAGAAGTAGCCACTCGGAGATAGATAAAGGGTCGTGTCAACAAGCAGGGACAAGGGAGAGAGGGCTGCATCAGGAAGGACCCCAGGCTCAGGGCTGAGCAGCTCGAGGTCAAAGCCTGTTTCCTGAGGTGAGGAGGGCTGCTGGGGCAGGGAGCTAAGAGCCGGGCCTCAGCCCTGTTGAAGTAGACGCGCCCATCGGATGTCCAGGGGACGTGTCAGGTCAGCAGCTGAGTGTTCTGGTCTGGATCCGGGAGAGGACTCACTCAGCTCAAGGTGGACTTGGGGTCGTGGGCATACAGATGGTGTTTAATCAAGAGCACGGTAAAGCTCAACATTCAGAAAGCTAAGATATGGCATCTGGTCCCATCACGTCATGGGAAATAGATGGGGAGACAGTGGAAGCAGTGTCAGACTTTATTTTTGGGGGGCTCCAAAATCACTGCAGATGGTGACTGCAGCCATGAAATTAAAAGACGCTTACTGCTTGGAAGGAAAGTTATGACCAACCTAGATAGCATATGAAAAAGCAGAGACATTACTTTGCCAACAAAGGTCCATCTAGTCAAGGCTATGGTTTTTCTAGTAGTCATGTATGGATATGACAGTTGGACTGTGAAGAGAATACAAATCCATTTTGATTAAATTGTAATTAGTGAACTATTTGATATTTAATGAACTTTACTCAATTGTGGAACCGAGTTATCTCAAGAGCCTTTTCTAGGTGCTCTCTGAAAAAGCCTATGGAACAGTTTATTATAACCAAGGCTGACTTAAAAAAAGAGAAAAAGGCAAGCTCCATTAGGAGATAGGCATATACACAAATACAGTAGCGGAAAGGGAGTGAGAGATGCTGTATGTCAAAAAAAGCCTTGCAAAACTACATCCATGGGACTTTGGAAATTTACCACAAGACTTTCTAGAGCACGACACCATGACATGTGTTAACTTGAGGTAGATCTCAGCTCCGCTGGAGCAGGAGCTTTCTAATACAAGATGCACCCTTTAAACACAAAACATGATGATGCCTCCGCACTCAGTGAAACTCAGTATGCTTCCTTCCAGGCAGAACACAAATGTCCCAAGAGGGACAGAGTCTGATACAAAGTGCCGGTTTCCAGCAGTGCCAGAGCAACTGAAACAGGAACTAGGCTTTACTTCCTTCCCGCTCCTTTCAAGACTCTGCCACCCTATCTGGACTATTACTGACTCCCTCTCTGATGGGTCTTTCTGTTGGCTTTTATTGTTAAAAGCAGGTTTTAGTCTAGGTGGTCAAACACTTGGTTGTAAGGTGAAGGGGTTTCATGGAAATGGCAAAACTGTCACAAGGGTGGTAGCATGTTTTACTGTAGCTATTAAGACACCAGAAAATTATCAAGAGCTTTAAAATCTTACCACTGGAAGTGTGTTCTGTATTCCAAAGCATCAGCAGGGAGGCAGAAATGCAAACTCTCAGGTCCCCAAACCTGCTGACTTGGACTCTTCAGGATAGGAAGAAACTCCCTCAAGTGATTCTTAAACTTGCTTAAGTTTAAGAAGTACTGTTTACAACATAAATGCACTAGCTCTTAGATATACTAGGGGTGTGGTTAGTAAGAAAAAGCTATTTATTTATTCTTTCCTATTTAAGAATTCAGTTGTTGAGTATGAAGGTTACTCTGCTCTATCGCCAGTCCTTGATTAGCCCTCACTTCACATTAACGGAGTATTTATGTAATGTCTTACCTACCCGGGTGTCAGGAACCAGTAAGTCAGCAGAATAAAAAAATGAGCTGCACAAATGCACACTATGAATAGACTCATAATTATCTTACATCAAGACAACATTAATGTTCAAATCACTTCATCCTACAAGAAAATATACACATTTGCCAGAAGCAATTCTGACATTTTACCAAGAATACATTTCAGATTAATTTCTAGGTAAGCAGTTAATGTGTGTATATACACATAAACCTGTATGTGTACAGATACTCAATATACACGTTTGTATAAACATACATATGCACACACACGTGAACACACACACACACATACACACACTTCTGGCCTGTAAGGAGCTAGCTAACTAGCCAACTGTCAAACGTGGCGACATGGTCTCCTCAAAACCAGAGGTGGCCAAGGCTTTATTTCTTCAAAGACAGCAATTCATTCAAGACTAAACAGTATTTCAAAACTAGGCAGAAAATCTGTTCTAAAACTTTGAAAATGTATCTCACTCTCTGAACCATGGATCTCAAAACTAAGGAACCCTGCCCAGCAGTACCAGGCAAGACACCTGTCTACTTTATTCACAAAGACTCAGAGGACACTTACCAAACATGTGCTGCTAAACAATTTTTTAAAAAAGAAAGAAATTAGAACTTGGGAAATAAAGGTTCAATAATTAAACCCTGATTGAACAAATTAATAACAGTTTTTACACAGAAAATTGAGAAGAAACTGTCTCAATTTTATATTATAATTTTTTAAAGGGGAAACAAGACCCCTTTTCATCTCATATTGAATTATCAGTAATTCTTTAAAACATCCAGAACTCCAATGTTTATGACAGTGTGACTAATTATGGTTTATCTGAAGAGGAGCTCTTTAAACTTTTTAACCATGATTCTCAGGAAGCTATTTCAAGTGGCATGTAAACTTTTAGAGGAGCGCTGACCACCTATGTACACTGTGAGTGCGCAGAGACAAAACTCCTACCCTACCTTCAAACTCGCTCACCATCGCTACCATCCTTTATTTGCTGTTCCTTCTTTCATGATCAGACTGACAGGAAAACTCAGAAAGTGCAATATTCCACTGTGCCTCTTAATTTTTCCCAACCAAAATATGAAGGAGTGAGAGAAGGAAAGAGGGAAGAAGGAAATAGAACCCATTATTTCTTACCGCTAAAATTTGATAAGTATCTGTGATGGAAAAAAGAGAAGACGTCTATTTTTAAATTATTTTAATTTACAAATAGAAAACATCTTGGAAGAAAAAAATGAAAAGAAAAACATAAAACACACAGACAAATTTCTGTTCCATCAGCTTCTCAAATCCTCACTTGTTCACCAATCCCCAAGATGAAAACTACTTTTCTAAAAAGCTATTCAGCCACCACTGTAAAAGAAAGAAAGATGGTCAATTTTGAGTATATATGATTTTAATAATAATAATATTTGAAATGCAATATGCTGTAATTTTATGGAACCAGAACCAGTTATTTGAGAACCACATCTATATTACTCCAAAACAGCACAAAAGAGAAGAAACTGAACTTTAAAATCTTGGAACTGAAAAGGCCCTTACAGATGACAGGGCTGTTGGAACAGGCTTAATCTGTTAAAACTCAGAATCCTCATTTGAAAAACATGCTTAACAGCATAGCCTAATGTCTTTCATAACAAGATGAAAAATATGAATTACATAACAGGACTGTTAGTTAAGAACTTTTTCAATTTGATGTACAAACTGGTTCTCAACCACTGTATCTTACCCAAAACACTCAGAAACCTGGATTAATAGTAATAATAAAAATTGCCTTCCCTATAGAAGAACGTCTAAGTTTCAACGGCATGAACATTAAAATAATATACTGAGATACACGTTTTAAAACTAACGTTAAGGAAAGAAGATAATTCCAGTACTAGATGAAAGTTCATTTGGGATTTTCTGTAACATCTTACTGAAAAACCTGAACAAGCAATTTGGCCAACCCAAAAATACTCCTGAAAAAAATAGCCCTGCATCTAAACTTTAACATAAAGTACTAAAGGCTTACTTCATTGAACTGTATTGCTGAAACTGAAATACCCACAACTATATAAATCTTTTAAATTATAACCCTGCGGATATTAATTCTGACTGCTATAATTGTAGAGAAGAGGAAAAATCATCATAAGGAAAACAGAGTGATAATTCAGCCTAATGAAAGAGAAGTTTGTTTATTCTTCACTTGCTATCATCTCAAAATGATTTTAACAGCGATTTATATGCTCTTTCAACAGGAAAAAAGATTTCTTTCTGTTTTACAGTT